TGGTACACATAGATGGTACGTGTATGTATACTTGTGTATGGCATTCATGCATGTATGAAAATATTAAGTCGGAATCTGCTCAAACTTTCTACATAGCATAAGAACATGAATATGTATCATACAATTACTTACCATATTTCCTCGAGTAAAAGCCGCCCCCGAGTAGCCACCTCCCTCGAATAGACTCCTCCTGGGGCCATGGTAGTCAAAGAAATTACCGCCGTCTTCAAATAGATGCCGCATTCATTATTATTATTAATAACCAAGTATTTAATTAACTAGTAAAATGGCCGTCTAGTCACAGTTGAGTCTTAGTCGAGTAGTTCCTTCATCCTATCGATTAGTTTTTTCTTTCCAGGAAAGGTATAGATACATGGTACTTCTAGGACCTTTCCAAATTCCCTTTTCCCATTAACATGAGCTTCTATTTGACCCCACGAAGCAAGAAATATGATGCAACTTGCGAAAACTCCCTAGGAAGGAGAAGAACATGTAGCTCATAATGCAAAGACACTGGGGAACATCTAAACTCCTACAGCCTGAGGTAGAACATGAGAGTGATCTTTCTCCAGACCTGGAACTGGAAGTAGTAGAGTAGTAATTGACATGATGAAGATTGAATTATTTTGTTTAAAAAGAGTATTAATGGTAAAATAATTAATAATTAGTTTAAAATTAATGGCAATTAATAATAATCGCCACCCTCGAACAATGGCCGCCCTCGTATAGTCGCCTCCCTCCTACAGATGGAAAAATGAAATAGACGCCGCGGCTTTTACTCGAGGAAATACGGTATATACAGTACATGTATGATACATGTATAAGGTGTAATGTGTCTAGATACATGTACATGTATTATTTATTACATTAATCAAATCATGTAATGTCTGTGCATATACAATTGAGATAAGAGAGAGTGAAGAGAGTTAGTGAAAGAGAAGGTGATAGACACTGGGAAATAATATACATATACACATGTACATGTACTTGTCTGCATGTACATGTAAATGTAAATGTATGTTTACACTTTACCTGTATCACATCTTTGTGTTGTTTTAGATGCTGTCATCCTTTGGGATGTTGATGGTAAATTACTAACCTGAATGTCAGCAAGGAGACATCAGTAAGAATGGAGTGAGAGAGGGAGAGAGGGAGGAAGGTAGGGAGTGAGAGAGAGGGAGGGAAGGAGGGAGCGAGAGAGGGGAGAGAAAGAGTTAAAAATGAATTAAAAGTAAATACATGTGTACATGTGTATGTACATTGCATGCAATAGCCATGAAGAGAGTATACATTGTAGATGATACTGTATTATTTTAACACTATAAGTTACAATGTACAATGATTTATTTTCAATACAGATAATGGTGTATGCTGGTTTATATCACGGAAGTGAGAATCTCTGTAAAGCTGAGAGTACACGACCAGTACAACAAGAAACAGTTGACACTCAACCTGTTTGGAACTGGAATGAAAACATTGAATTTGCTATTGATGTAAAGTAAGAAATGTACATGTATTCATGTAGTACATACATGTACATGTATTTGCTCTGTTAGATCTAAATGGGGTTGTGTTTAGCCTACATGTACATGTATAATAAATATCCTAAAGTCTCTCATTTTATCTAGCTTAGTCTCCCAAAAGTTATTCCTAGATCTAACATGTACATGTACATGTTTATGTAT